CCTAAGATACACAAGCCTGACGTACCGCTGCGGCCGATTGTAAGTCAAATTGCTTTTCCTACTTACGATCTAGCAAAGCACGTTGCTTCAGTATTGCAACCACTTATAGGCAAAACACCGTCTTTTGTGAAAGACTCACGGCACTTCATACAAATCATAAAAGATCTGACGTTGGAACCGGATGACGTCATGGTGAGCTTTGACGTGGAGTCGCTTTTCACCAATGTTCCAATAAAGGAGTGCCTAAACGTCGTAAAAGACCTACTGAGAGACAACGAGCTGCCCTTAAACTATATGGATCTACTTGAACACTGTTTAGAAGGCAACTATTTCCTTTTCCAAGGTCAACATTACCTCCAGATTGATGGTGTCGCGATGGGAAGTCCTGTAGCCCCAGTACTGGCCAACATCTGGATGGAACATTTTGAAGAGAAGGCTTTAAATCTCGGCCCTAATACCGTTAAGCTATGGAAGCGATACGTGGATGACATTTTCAGTATCGTCAAAGGAAACAAACAAGAAGTGGATCAATATATACAACATCTGAACTCTATTCACCCCAAAATGAGGTTTACATATGAAATGGAGACGGACAGGTCGTTGTCTTTCTTAGATGTTAAAGTAGCCGTGAGATCGGATGGGTCCTTGTCACACTGTGTGTACCGTAAACCTACTCATACGGACAGATACCTACACGCCACGTCTCATCATCACCCCCGGCACTTGCAATCTGTTATGACTTCACTCAAAAACAGAGCTTACGATCTCTGTGACCCTGAACATTTAGAACAGGAACTAAAACATGTTCAGGAGGTACTCAAAGGTAACGGATATCAAGTGAAAGGAGGACGGAAGCAACCGAAAATAAGACGCAAGTATCCAGAAGTGAACAGGCAACCGGCCTATATGCCTTATGTCAAGGGAGTTACGGACAAGATCGGGTCTGTACTAAAGAAATATTCCATTCCGACAGTATACACACCAGGCATAAAGGTTCACAACATCGTCGGCACACCGAAGGATACATTGCCACTACAAACTCCGGGTGTTTATAAAATAGACTGCAGCTGCGGAAGCTCATACATAGGCCAAACTAAGCGGACTATTGCAGAAAGGGTCAAAGAGCATATCGCTGCTGTGAAGAACCGACAGACGAGCAAATCAGCGATTGCAGAACATGCACTCGATGCAGGCATCAACCACTGGATTGAATTTCACCGCACGCAAGTCCTCTCCACCGAACGTCACTTTTACTCAAGAGTTGTACGTGAAGCGATTGAGATTAAAAAGCATAAAACTTTCAATCGGGAAGATGGTTTTAAATTATCTACAGCGTGGAATCCAGTGTTAAAAAACATACCACCTCGCTTTTCTGCGCAATCGGTTAAACACCAGAATAGGGACTCATCGGTTTGCTTACAGAATAGGGACACTGTTAGTGTGGTATGTGACGGTACATGGCGACACAAAAATAATATCGAAAATGTGCGGGTAGATGAAGAGCCTTCTACTTCACGGATTCGACGACGGAGGGCGTGCGCCGATGAGCCAGTCAGCCTGTGACCACGGCCGGTGCAACCTGGTCGAAACGTCAGGCAAACCAGAGGTATGTAATACCCTAAATAAGAGATCGCGTTAATTCCCGTTAAATAATATTAATTCCCTTACTTACAGCGCGTTCCTCTTACAGCCCATAATGGGTAAAAATTACCCTTTTTACGTAATAGCCTTCTTATTCATATTTTGGACGCAACGAATTTTAACATAGAACATTCAATATTCATTTGTCTCTCACAGAAAATAGCGTTTTGAGAAAATTAGCTTCGGTATTACATTGTGTGGGCGTCGAGGGTCCAATGTGATGTATAAAATATGCTGATCTTGTAACAATATGTGTGGGAAAGGATCTAATTATAAGATACCTTGGGCCAAAGGATTTTTATGAAATGGTATTTGATATTTACTAACATACGATAGTAAGATTTAAATAACGATAAAAGAATCTACAGACTTCCGTCAGTTTGTAATTGATGAGCATATTTTTGTGGGCTCGACATGAATGAAAACAGCTTTTCAGCCATTTTTTCGTTGCTTATCACCAGGTCAGTGTGGTTGCCGGAGGTTTGACACTATTTTATTTGCTTTAGTTGTATTAAGTGATATCACGGCCTCACAGAAAACCAGTGTTAAGCAATTCTTTCGTTGCCTTTCACTGAGTGAGTGAGGTTACCGGAGCCCAAACCCCTCCCGCTGACTCGAGCGGTAGGGACTCCAAGGGCAGCAACGCACTTGTGACTTTTGATTTGCAGGTGTCCATGGGCGGCGGTAGTTGCTTACCATCATGTGACCCGTCTGCTCGTTTGTCCCCTCATACCATAAAAAAAGTTACCAAACTAATAGAAAAACTAACTAAATATCTACACATCTTTACTTCATTTATTTATATGGATTAAATCGTCAATGAATTAAAAACTCGCGGGTCAAGTATTTCATGACCAAAAGACCAGAATTAATCTATATCTATAAAAGAAGATAGACTGATTTGCTGATTACCTCACAGCTGAAATCGCTTGGTATAGAAGCATGAAATTTTTCACAAATGTTCCTTAGGTGACGTAGCTATCTATACTAATATTATATAGCTGAAGAGTTTGTTTGTTTGTTTGTTTGTTTGAACGCGCTAATCTCAGAACCTACTGGTCCGATTTGAAAAATTATTTCAGTGTTAGATAGCCCATTTATCGAGGAAGGCTATAGCTTTTATATTATCACGCTAAGCTAAGCACCAATAGGAGCGGACCACCAATGAAGAATGTTTCAAAAACGGAGAAAATTTATTACTATTGAGAGACGCAGACGAAGTTGCGCGGGTCAGCTAGTACACTATAAAAGGATTTTTAAAAATTCCACCACTAAGTGTGTAAAATGGGTTTTCTGAAATTTATATGATTTGGTTAATAATTTATATAATATGAACTTCGTAATTTTTGGTAGAGCATCAGGCACATATATTTTTAAATAATCAAATGTACAACATAATATACGAATTATAAATCACACCAGAACAGAACGAATGATCGTGCTCTTCACACAGTATTTGTCATGGGCGGGAATCGAACCCACGACGTCAGGCTAAGCAATCAGGGTCTCTAACTACTAAACCAACTGGCCAGTAATGTCTTAACAGCTCTACCATAAAAAAAAAGCCTATGTTATTTATTTTGTACAGTGAACAAATTGAAAATGTTAAAGTTTTATCATCAAATTATATTAGCGTATTTACGAACAAAAAGATAAAAATACACTCGCATTTTTATTATACGTAGGTATGCTATTTAAGATGCATTGTATAATAATAGCCTTTATTTAACAATCTTACATACTAAACATTTCTTAAGTAATAATTTTCAACAATTGACACCAGTTCCACAAAGATTGTCTTGCTTCCCAGCATAGGCCTCCCCTAGAGCCTGCCATAGAATGCGGTCCTGTGTCTTCCTCATCCACGTAATTCCACCTATTCTTTCGATGTCGTCGTCCCATCGACGGCGCTGCCTCCCTTTTCTTCTTTTGTACTGATAGAATGGTGCATTGTATACGTCCTCAGAAATTCCCGCAGGCAGTGACCGTATTCATAACAGACTCAATTGAAGGAAACACGTCCGGCAAGACGGACGCGTTCATCCGACCATGACTGCACACATAACCATCTTACGTAACGAACTGTATATGTAATTATATTTTGATATTATTATACTGTTATGGGAACATGCAATATAAGTCTCGAGTTGAATTCATTAGAGTTAAATACCTACTACGTATTTAACTCTAAAGAATTTAAAGATTAAATACATTATAGTAATTTTACAATTTTTAATATTATAGTTATTCCGCGTAAGGATTAAGAATACGGAATGTCACTACCAAAATTCGTCCCGTGGGTGACTTAAGAGCCGACTAAAGGGCGAAAAACAATGCAGGACAATAGCACTGCAAAAAGAAGGAAAACTTGACACAAACCCTATACCAACCCGTCTGGCCAGCGTGGTATAGTAGACCAAAACCTCTTTTCTAAGAAGAGGCCTATGTCCAGCTATGGACTATTGAAGACTGTTGATGTGATGTGATGTGAATTTTAGAAAATAGGCAATCCGAAAATGTTAGTTTCAATACATAAAGGATTGAAAAAAAAAATATATATATTTTCTACAAATGTACGAAACGCGAGCTGCCATGGTTTACATCACGTCCGTTAGTAATAAAAACTAAGCAAGACGTTAATTTCGTTGTAAATTTTGCGATTATTTTATTTTTACCGTTTTTTTAGTAAATGTTACCAAAGATTACAGTAGTAACAACACAACAACAGAACAAATCTACTCATAACATGCTCTAATTTTTTTACCATAAAAAGATATTTTTTCTGCCAAATTACGGTATGTGAACATCAATACGAGTATAGGATGTATCGTTTTATCTCCATCAACAGTCATTAAAATAGGACCTTTTTTTCAATTTAATACAATTTTGGCAAATTGTAATTAAACAGGTAAACGTTAAGTCAATCTCAATGGCACTTCTCGATTGAATAAAACTTCAGTAAATTTACTGGTTGTTATGATTATTATTATTGTTTTATTGTTGTTACATTATCATCAAATTAAAACACTTTTCCATAAAATAGAATAACGCCGTCTTGGGTATTCAATTTCGGACTTCAACGGAGTGATATATATGACGTTACAATAAAACCCTACATTATGAATGATTTACTATATATGTAATGTAACTGTTAATGCAAGGTTCGGAACAAAAGAAATTGAATCTTTAAGAAAAAAGAATAAAAATATATCTACAAGTATTTATTAAATACTAGGCTTTCAAACTTTACTATTTTGACAATAAGTTTTTACACCTGATTCATCATTTGCCTATTACTAGTTAAAGTTATAGTACATATATATAAATTAGAAACTAACCTAAGACACGTTACATTCCAGGCCCCGCAGACGATCCGGGTCGAGCATAGTGGTGTTGGGTGCGGAAGACGAGAAGCGTCTGCCACCGGATGACGAGAAAGACATGCTCACTATGCTCTCACTATCTTCTGACACCGGTGAGTATCTTTACTTCTCCAATTTACTTCTGATTCATTTCGTTGCGGGTTCTAAGATAGTTTAACTTTCCTTGGGACTTCCCGAGTGTCATAACTCGGTGTGTTTGTGGGTCACCGCTGTTGATCCTGGTGTACAGGATTTACAGTAGTAGGCTTGTAGAAGGGATTAGTCTCATAAAAAAAGTACGCAATTATCTAATGTATCCAAAAAATATATCCACAACGTAACAAGTAATTTTAAAACTCAGATTAAGTTAAAACCGATGATGATTGAAATACCGGCCAGAAATATGGAGTTCAGTTCAGTGCATAAAAGTGTCTTGTCTATATCTACCATATCACCTCTTACCCACAGCTACTCGTGTTACATTCATCCCCCCTCCCGCTGACTCAAGCGGGTGAGAATCCAAGTGTAGCAACGCACTTGTGACTTTTGAGTTGCAGGTGTCCATGGGCGGCGGTAGTTGCTTACCCGTCTGCCCCCTTATACCATAAAAAAAAACATTTCCAAAAGTCACATTTACACCAAATTTCAAGTATATTATTTATCCTACAGGACCCCAAAAATTTTCGCGGAGATAATGTGTTAATCCAAGCAATTAGCTATTCATACAAATTTGCTTCTTCAAATGTAAAAGAATTTGGACGCCTTCTGGTTTTTATTTTATATTCTCCTTAATGCAAGGTTTATTGGACGTATATTAATAAAAGTATTACATTAATTAGAGTATTATTATATGTATATTATTTGACAAAATAATATAGTAACCGATATAGGTATATCGGTTACTAAGCTACTAGGTAGTATTAGATCATTTAACGAGATGTTCCCAACCATTTTTTTTTTAATTTTCAAAGACATCTTTTGCATTAGGGCATTTTATCCCTTAACACGGAGGTTTTATGGCCATTAAATATCGTAGAATGATAAAGACCTAATTTATTAGTGATCCAAGGCATATAAAATTCGGTTCACCAGAAACATTCTTTCACATTACCCCCAGGACTCTTCTAAATAATTCAAAGATTAATTATGTAATTTCTTTTTGGACAAATCTACCTTCATTTTTGTTTTTATTTCGCTTTTATGTCTATCTTCTCTTGAATAATTTACATCGCGTAAATTAAATTCTCTTTCTGTTATTAAAGGCAAGATATTATTTATGATGTTGGTATTATTTGATCTTTAAGAACTCCGGTGGGTGTCTATCATGAACTACTGTATAACAATATAAGCTTTCTGCCCACGTACACAAAACTTATGTTAATATGTGACCCATTTTTTAATCATTTTAATGTCTGTAACTTTTAGATATCGTTGATACGCCATCCTTTCTTCTTAAGCCGCGGCCCTCCACGCAATACGGCATGACAATGTTTTAGAACTGTATAATACTACTTAAAAAGTCGGAAGCTTTTAAGTAGGCTTAAGACGGCTCATAATAAGGTCCAAACTTATGTCTCCTCATTTCAATTTCCTCGCCGCGGTCCTTTTTCAGATTTTTATTTAAAGAAGTTTGAGCTGCAAACGTTTTGCTGACATATTTTGAATAATTTAATATCTACGGAAAAAAAGAAGAATCGACACCGATTGTTTTTGCACATTGAGACACTTATCTTCATCATCATCATCACATCAACAGCCTTTAATAGTCCACTGCTGGAAAAAGGAAAGAAAGGAGGTTTTGGTCTACTATACCACGTTGGCCAGACGGGTTGGTATAGGGTTTGTGTCAAGTTTTCCTTCTCTTTGCAATGCTGTTGTCCTGCGTAGTTTTGCAGTAGTGCTTTTTTACATATATTTTACATATTTAATATAAGTAGACAATTAAACAATTTAAACAAACACAAAGTAAAGAATTTAAAACCTAGGAAAGTCATGAAAAAATGACTTTTTTCGACTCTAAATTTAATTAAATTATATTTTGTATATATGTTATTGTATGCTAACGTTATCAGTATGTTACGAATTTTGGTATTTCATTAAAAGATTAACTATCTACATATATCCAGTATTCCTCAAGGCTAACAACAATTTAATTTATTGATTGCATCAATATCAAGTGTCATGCTAATCCGTTAAATATCCTTATCTTACATACGTTCATAGGTACGTTCACAATACTACAAGCTAAAAGCATCTACAACAAAAGACAAATTCAGCGAACCAAGAAGGAGATTCCTCAATTTTTTGCTCGTTGTTAACAGATAACAAACACATTATTTTCGACAGTTTTTCGCTAACGAAACGACCTCCAAATGAAACAATGGAACAAAAAGTTAGGAAATGAAATATATTCTTTTAATTAACTGACTAACGTTGCTGTTCAGTAATTGTTTTTGAGATATAGTTCGTCAGTTAAGGTATTTTATTGAATGAATGAATTGAACAAGAGCTTAAAAATAACATGACGCAATACACCTCCAATTCGCCTGTTTTTGAGCTGGTGTTCTTCGTCCCTTTTGCTACTACTTTACTATTACGACGTAGAGGTTGTTAACTAATACTGTTCGTTTTATTTATTAAGTAAAAAAACGTATCTTATTAGGATAAATAAATCAAACAGATGTATTTATCCTAATAAGATACGTTTATATATATATATATATATATACGTTTTATAATTAATGTGTAGTGTAATCAGTAATATTTGCAACACAATAATTAATTTGAAATATGCATTAGATGGGTGTTATTATAGGGCTTTAAGTGTTCTGTCGGGGTTCAGAGCATTTCGTTTCTAAGGTAAACTCAGGCCCCGGCAAAGGATCTGATGATGGAACATTGTGTGGCTTCAGTCGGTTCTGTGTGGTTTAGATTTAACGAAGGGTAAAAAACATTTAAATCGTGTCATGTTTAGTTTGAGGTCGTTAACAATATCGTGTTATATTCCAGGTCCCCACCGCGAGATGGCGGTGGATGTTCCGGACAGTTTCATCGGCCGCAACAAGACACCACCCCGATACCCGCCTCCGAGGCCCCCGCAGGTACGCCTCCGGACCTCCAGGGATGACGAACCGCTTCTATCTTCCGGTGGCAGCTCCACAAGCTTTGGTTCCAAGCAATCTGTCCTCCACAACACAGCTCCAAGCTCCGATGGATCTGGATCCTTCAAAAACAATAGCACTATAGAATTATTGTCCCTTCCACAAAGCTCAAATGGTTCAGGAAGTTTTGGAAGCAAAAAGAGTAAAGGATCTTCAGAAACAGCCAAATGTGGAGATTTACATTCAGAAAGATCAGATTCCGTAGCCTCGAATACGACCCACAATTTAAGTGACCACAAAATCCAACTGCTCATTTCGAACGGAGAGGACTCTTTATTAGATTGCAGGGAGGGTGTCACTTACTCAGCTCGGACGGACTCTGTCCTGATCAGAGAGGCTGTCTACGCTTCGTACAAGCTGCCTCCAGGGTTCGACACGACGCCTGTACTCCTCGGCAGAGAAGTGGCGGTCGATGTTCCTGAGACTTTTGTTCAAATAGTGAAAACCACTCCAAAGTACCCCAGTACTGTGGACAGAAAGAGCGTAGCGTTTCAGGTAATGGGCACATTGCTACGCATGCTTATCATGGGACATTGAGGATAGAAAGTACTTGTGTGGAATGGGTATATCTTGGATATATCATTTTAGTTCCTGGAGTAATCGGCATGGGCCTCAAAAGGCTTCTAACTTTTAAGTGATCAATAGGAGTATAACATTTTTTTAATGTTGCTGTCTTTTAAAAAAATTATCCTTATTAATATTTCTAAAGGATATTGTTTTTGAACGTGTAAACAAAAACATGTAACCCTGTTAATAATTAAACTTTTAATAGTTAAGAATAAAATCCATTCTCAATGCTGCAGGAACTAAAATGATTCATGGAACTGTAAGGGCTAAAATGTAGGTATATCATATTTGGTGAAAAAATTAACAACCTAACTAACAAACATAAAAGTATATAGAACGAAGTACTAACATAGTATCATTAACATTGTGGTGTAAAGGTGAGATTTTACTCAGCTTAAGGTTCGAAAAATCTCAGTTTGGATCAAGTACTATCTCATCATGATTAGTTAAAATAGTAAATCATTAATCATTTCCATCAAAACATTAAAAACATATATTTTCATGTCATCGAGAATTCGATTATCTCTGAAGTCTGACTTACATGAAGCGATTGGAAGAAAAATATAAAGGAAACATGCAGATTAGTAATATATTACTGCTACAATAATTAAAAAAAACTATCTCTGGACCGATTTGAAAAAAAAATTTTACCATTAGAAGCCGATATTATCCCTGATGAAGATAGGCTACTTTTTAGCGCGGGAAAATGCTTCATTCCTAAGGAAAAAAGGGGAATAGGACAACGGGTAGTAAGAATGATCTTTTCGTACTTATCTTTTTCACATAACTTCTAAACGGCCAAACCGATTGGGTTGAAATTTTATATAGGTATTTCGATGGTTTTCTGGATGATTTAAAAATACAATTGGACCCAGTAGGTGGCGCTGCTGTTGGTATGTCAACTACTAAACTAATGTGTATTTCCATGGTAGTATTAGTAGTATCTACATTGCACCCGTGCAAAGCCGGGGCGGATCGCTAGTTACATATAAATTTCGTTCTTAAATGCAAAACTATATTAGAGAATTAATCACCATTAATCTTAATTGTTGATGATGATGATGATGATGAATCTTAAAAGAACATAATATTATACTATATAAGTTTCTAAATCTGTACTTACATAAAATTACATTTACATTCAGCAAACCGTAACACGGATCCAAAAACTCATTGATTCTTATTTAAATTTTATATTAGCATATTCTTCAAAGGAGTGTTATTATCAGAAAACTTTTAATTTTCTTCGGTGACATGTGCCAATAAAACACGGTACATCAGACATTAAAAAATGATCTTTACCTCTATCAGTAATAACCTGTGGGCTTAATACACAAACCCCGGATGCAAGGCATCATACAGCGTCCCATTTACTTCAAAACCAGGCCCACGTACTTTAGCAGATGCTTGATGAATTCAGTTGTTTGACAGGCATTTAAGGTCTGCTGACATTGCCATTGTTTGTTACCAAACTCCTCCGAACCGATTTTTAGGTCTGGGAATCGGCTAACATCTATTTTTCATACCCCTAAATGATAAGGGTGACCCACCCACTTTTTTTGTCTTTTTTTTTATTATGATTTAGCATTGAAAAATACATACAACTTCAAATTTCAACTTTTTATTGAACTAAAAAATATTTCCTAGAAATAATGTATACGGCAAAACAATGTTTCCCGGGTCAGCTATTACATATAAATTTCGTTCTTAAATGCAAAATTAATATTAGTGTTATACATTAAAATACCTGTTTTATCTAGGTATAACCATTAAACTCAAATCAAATAATTTTAACGTCCAAACAGTAAATTCTGTTAAACAAATTGGGACAGCATAATCATATAATTATTTTTTTTAAGACAGCTCCCGCACTAGTAATAAATCCTGTGTCGCGGGGGACTTTACAAACATACATGAAACGGACACAAAGAACACCCAGACTCAGAACAACCATTATTATTATTAACTATCAACTTAACATTTCTTTCTAAAATTTGGTCCTGAAAATGGTTACCAATCTAATTATTCAAAGTCTTATATTGTACACTTCATTAAAAAAGAAATTATCCTAAAGTTGAGTGTGACTGTAACATAAAGAAGAAAACAAACTCCAATTCCCCTTAATCCTGGGCAAGGGGGGTAACGCACTCGTGAGTTGCAGGTGTCCAGGGGCGGCGGTAGTCATTTACTATTAGGTGACCAGATACTCGTTTATACCCGTTTTTTTTCCGGAGCGGAACATCCCTCGAATCCCAACCACTAGTAGGATAATATCGCACTCGAACCGACGAAAAACCGCACGCCATCTCCAGGTATCAGTAGCCGGGAAACCAGGTATAAGTTTGAAAGGAAAGCCCAGGTACCCTAACGTACCTTGGGCCGTCAACGGCTTATAGATGATCCTCTCCTGAGTGGGAACCCCTATGTTCTCTTCATGCCCCCGAAGGCGTGCGCGCCGTCACCCACCCCGGCCTGCTTCAGCTAGGGTGACAGATGGCCTCACCTGTCACCCTCTTGCCTGCGCTTATCGATTACGAAAAAAAAGAAAAATAATGTTCTATAATAGTAGTCATAGTCACATTATAAACAAAAAGATTATTAATATGCAGGCCTCGTCACTAAACATAGAACCTTATCTACATTGTCGTTGAGATAAGGCTATTAGTTGTCGACATTACAAATAGTAAATTGAATTAATGATTGGTCTGCCACATGTTTCCTTCACCTGCTTTGTTAAATACAGTCACGATTTATAATTCTGTTATGATAAGTGTATTTTATCGCCAGTATCTATAACTCAACAAATAAATAATAGAAGCATAAATAATTACATTAAAATGAAACTAAACAAGCGTATTTATAAAAACCCGACTGCGTTTAAAACGTTTGCCTATTTTCTTAGAAGGATGATGGCTGATTTTTGGCGCAAAATAGCAATAGGTTGATAAAAAAAATTAACCAAACCTGTCGAGTAGGGTATCAAAATCATGAAAATTAAAAGGGGCTTATGGCTTATAAAAATAGGTTACTTATATATTTAAGTTAAATGAGGAATAATAAGGCTATCCAACATTAAAACATTTTTTCAATTCGAATCAGTAGTTAGTGCGTTCAACTAAACAAACAAACTCATCAGCTTAATCTATATCTATAAAACTGACTGATTGATTCACTAACTAATCGATCAACGCACAGCTGCGATCAAAAAGTTTTCGAAATCGTAAAAATGGGCCATCTTTGTGTCGAGCCTCGGGCTCTTTCTGTCTTTTTAGTACATTACTTTCAAATTGTCATTTTGCAGACGGGTTTTTGTTTTTTTTTTAAATTATGACTTGTAATTTTTATAATCTACATATTATAGTGTCAGTGCCAGTGTCACTCTTACAATAAGAATTAAGAATCTTACATTAAGATGTTTACACTACAGAGCATGCCAAAGAAATAAACATACAACATTATCATCAACAGCCTCTAAAAGTTCACTGCTGGACATAGGCCCCTCCTTAGAAAGGAGGTTTTGGCCTGCTATACCTCGATGGCCAGAATTTTATAAATCATCATAAGACAAGAAATGTTTGTCATGACAGTCTTTGACTTTTATTCAAGACTACCTTTTGCCCGTGGCCCGCGGCTATATGTCCCTATAGGACGTAGCTCAGTATCCGCCATAATACATACATACATGAGGTAACTCGTATATTATTAATAAATATCAGTAGTTTTAATCTTCCTGTTTTAAATTTAAATGTTACCAAATTTAAGTTTGAAATGTTAGGAACGATAGGTATATTGGTTCGAACTGCCGTGGTCATGTTCACTTGGTAAGTTATTATAAACGGAACATCCCGCTTGTAAAAACTTTTCTAGGATCGATAAACTTTATTTGTACCCTTATATATGTTGCAACCTTATTTTGCTAATTTAATAGAAGCAACAATTCAAATGAATCCTTACATGTTTGTTTTCCCAATTTTACTAGTTACAGACTCTGTTAGTGATCATTTCATTTCTATCATCCGTTTGATCACCTCATTAAGATCATCCATCATCACGCTTTCAGCACTTAACGCTCTTTCTGCTGCGAATTTGACAGTTTGGTCCCTGAAGCTTCTGGAACTTCAAAGTTCAAATATATTTGAACCGCATTTGGCTGTTTCTGCTGCTGGTCTGCTGAAAATGTTTACCTTATCGAACTTTCTAGGTAAAATGAGGAGTTCTGTATGTTTGAAATCGTGGGCCAACTAATAAGTAACTAACCTACCCTTAAATATTTTTATACTCTTCTTAAAATCTAAGATACATTTTTCTTTTATTTATTTTATCTGTTCTTATTTATTTTTATCGATTCTGATTGGTATAATTGATTATATTTAAGTTTTAAATATTGGTTTCTTATACTAATAATTTACTTAGGTATGTTCATGATATTTTTAAACTACTTTTTGTGTTTAATTTGACTTATACTTGAACTAACTCTTGGTAACTATTGAAAAAAAAAACCAATCGCTTTTTTTTATTGGTTAACCTAATTATCCTAATTGTGGGATTGTCATTATTTATGACATGTCAACTTTAAACATACGCTGATAGATTCTTAAACTTGCTTCAAAACTTTAGTTCACAATAAAGAAACTTAATTTAAATTACAACCGTATCATAAATGATTTCCCACATGAGTAATTGGTAAGTTCCCTCAATATCTCAGCTGTATTCAAATTGAGAGTATAATCAAATGCGGGCAGATCCAACCCACCCCAGGGTCTCTTAATGGTGGAAATATGTGATATTACCCTCTACCCTGTCGTATTTATCTCTTGCATATATCCCAATGATATGAAATATTACGCAATTTTATGTCGATGATTCCTTTTATGATTCGTTTTATTACATTTACGCATATTTTACATCTAAAACCTTTTGGAATTTAAATTTGAAAGTTATAACGACGACATTCTGTTTAATATTTTATA